ACCTTTGAGCCAGAGATATCGTATCAAAAACAATATGGCTGCTGCTCTGACCGTCACCGGCGAGACATTTCCGCCTCATCACATGAACGTTATTGTAATTCTACACGTTGTCGCCACGTCTGAATAAACCAGGTCACTTTTACATTAAAGGCACCAACACGAGAGGGATTGCGTCAGACCAACCAGACGAATGCTTGACTTCTCTTCTTCCCTCGTCTTGTTTTTTACAGAACCTTGGAAAAGAACAAGAAGAAGAAGATATTTTAACGACTCTGGAGGACCTACCCGATGTTACGGTGTGTTATATTTTTGCCAGCCTCGATCGTCAGATCCTCTGTCGATCAGTCACAGTTTGACCATGTGACTGTGTAATAATCCAGTGAACACCAGGGGGCAGTATCGTCCGGACCAGCCTTTCCTCCCTCACGTTCCTCTTTAAAGAACTGTTATCACTGTCCTATGATCTGGGTCATCGCTCACATAAACAACTATATTCACATAAAAAGAGTTCAGTCTTTCCTCTTCTTCTGTGGGAGTGTCGGATGTTTCACTGTTTCCTTTTAATGCCAAAAAACAATCACATTTAATCTCCTGCTCCCCCGTCTCATGTCATGCGAAGCCGCAGCGTTTAACTTGATTCATGTGTAACATTTTATTACTTACTGTTCTTTTGTTTTGGCCCTGGTGTATAAATTGTGTTCATTTTGTTTCCTGCATCATGTTTTCTCGCCCCGCTCTTGAAAAACAAGCGTGTACTCCTGACTTCGCTGAGTGAAACAAACTGAAATGAAAAACTGCTCATGAAGTGTTTCTGCATGAATTCATTTGAGGTTCTTGTGCCGATTCTGTATAAAAATGTTTTCCTACACAAACAAATCTTTCCGGGGAACAGGTTTGTCGGATGGTGGAGGGAAAGCTGAAGCCGAGGCTCCTCAGTCAAACAGGTGACAACTCAGTCACTGCACCAAGCTGGCTTTTCTTTGTATCACATTTAGCACAGTTTTGTGTACTGCATCTGTATTTTTGTAATGTCTCGTTTTTTGTTTTTATTGTACAAAGTCACATAATAAAATTGTGATGGGGAAAAATAACAGCTGGTGTTGAATTTTACATTTTACGACAAAAAATTTACAAAATACTCCAAAGGCACCGAAACTATGGTCTCCAACCTGCTGCTGCTGCTGCTGCTGCTGATGCTGTTGGGTTCAGACCTTCCTCCAGATGTTGGAAACATCATGAACGAAGTCTGATCTCACCTGGTGCCATACGGAAGGGTAAGAAAAAGAAATCTCTGTTTTTCTGAATTAACGAGATCGTTTAATCAATCCAAAGTATCAATATGCATACAACAAAAAAATTAGTAGATTTTTGAATGTAAATGTTGAAAATGTTTCACTGAGTCTTTGATAAGTTTAGTTTGTGGTGTCATTCAGTTGCACTTTGATGATTGATTTGACTGTCGGTGTGAATATCGTACATGTACAGTTCAGTATGTTGATTTCCTGCCAAATCTTATTCTCTAAGTCATATATGTGTATATAAATATATATATATATATATATGTGTGTGTGTATATATATATATATATATATATGTGTCTGTAAATCGTTAGCATGAAGTATAGAATTGCGTTACACCACTGTATAAATAGCCAGAACCATTTACTTTGAGTTCAAAAACTGGAAATACATGAGAGCGAAAGTCAGAAAACTTTTATCTTTTGGGAGGTCACATCCATTTTTGACGCCATGTCTGAGGTTCAAAGTGAACAGTTGAACAGTTCTGAAGTTTTCTTTGAGACATTTGCATCCAGCAGGTGGCAGCACATGACAGGTTCAGGGACCGTCCAGTCTTTTGAGCTGCCTTGTCAGTGTCTCTTTGATCTGAGGTCGACGGATGTTTCTGTTAATATCTTTGTGATAACACAGCGTAGAAATATGTTTTGAATGTTAGAATCTGTAGACTCTCCACTGTACTTGACTCTTAGCCGGAGCAGGAAGGCCTCTAAAGTTTGGTTATAGTAGAGGGAACCACGTGGGAGATAGGGTGTTCTTGAGTTCTGTGAGATGACTGGTTCTTAAAGGAGATCTTAAGGTTAAAAAATAGTTCTTCACTAACAGGAAGCTAAAAGTGTGTGAATCTTTATCCTGTAGCAAAAGACAACAGCACATCCTCATCACTAATGTCTGTCAGTGTCTCTGTTATTTCCCTCTTTCCCTCTTTCCCTCTTTCCCTCAGCACGTTGTTCTCGTTGGGTTGGAAACACTGAATTTAGAACATTCAGAGACACTGAACCTGTTTCACAGGAATCATGCTGCTAGGTAAAAGCCTGGGTCCATGTTTACTTCCTGTTTACTGTTTAACAGGATCATTTATGTTTATTATTCAAAGTGAGGTGTTCCCACAGACAGCTGATACGTTGATCAGCTCTGGTGTCTAATTAATCAATCGATATTTGCAATCACCAGATTTTTAATAAAAAATAAAAAAAATCAGTATTTTTTTAATGTTACCTTAAATTTCTTTCCTCCGACTTGTTCAAACAAACGTTCGGCCCTTTGGACTCTCTGCCGCTGTGTGTTCATCACACCACAGCCTGACGGAGAGTCTGCTGCGGCCTCTCCTCTTGCTGATTGGTCGGCTGAGCTCTCGGGTCACCCAGGTGAAGGCACCCTCAGCCAATTGCTGAGGCCGTACGCTGAAACCTAATGTGTCGACCCACATGACAACACAAGAAGCGGTCACAAATCATCCTCTGCTTGGGGCCCCAGGAAGGTGGGGGCCAGCCCTGATCTGTCGGCCCTTGTACTTAATAACCCACTAAACACACGGGTATTTGTTCTGGTGTTGACCCGGGTCACTAACACTGCAGCGATTCCCAGTCCGCTCCAGCCCTGAACACCTGACTGTGTTTTTATTCTCATCATACGAAGGACAGCGACAGGACAAAACTACCGCATGTTTAAGACTGTAAGGGAACAAATACAAACGAATGGTAACAAGGAATCCTGGAACCCCTTTAAGAACCCACAGAACCCTTTTATAAACTCTGGAACCAGACCACCTCAAGGAACCTTTGAAGCACTACATGGTTGGGTTAGAACCCAGCAAGAACCATCTAGGAACCAGTGGACCTCGATCATGATCTGGAGGAGCTCGAGTGACCTCTGTGCCCCCCCCACAAAACCTAGAGTCCCTTCAGAACAATCTTATACATTGCTGGAACCCATCAAGAGCTCACAGAACCACTCAAATATCTAGATAGCAGAAGGCCCCCTGGGACTACACCGCATCCAGAACTCAAAGAACTGCTAGAAACCAGCCAAAGAAAGTCCAAGAACCCACTTCAGGATCACTGTAACCCTCTTAGAGAATACACTGAACGTTACGAATCCATAATCCAATCAATGGACGAGAAGTTTTCAAAACCAACACGAGATAAAAGTCATGAGGTCAAAGGACAATCACGGGCTTTGTTGATAGAGAATGAAAAACAAAGCATGTGCTTGTCTGAAATTATAATGCTATGCTAATTCAATCAGGCAGATCAGAGCAGAGAGGTGATTACATCCTTCCACTGATGGAGGCCTCAGTGAAGCAGTCAATGATCTGAACACGTCTATATGTTTGTAAAACAATCACCTTTTTTTTTCTCCCTAAAACCAAAACCTTGATGCAAGAAATAGAGACACAGCTATTACGACTAATTATAATAATCATATTTAATCTGCAGAATACAGTGTATGAAAGGTCTCCACGTAGAAAACAATGCAGTTCAGAAATGAGGAAATACAATTGAATATGTTTTTATAATGCAGACGCTTTATTTGAATGTTGAATTATTAATCAAAATTAAAAACTAAATCCATTTTGTAAAGCCTTTTAAGTAAATTAATATGTGTGTAATCAGCTCTGTAATCTGCCCCAGTTAGATAATATTTAGCTGACAAACCAGCTGCTGCTGCTTATGGAGGAAGCATCAAACCATGAGGAGAGTGTCTCATTTCAAAATAAAAGCCAGATCGATAGATTGACAAAATAAATGATTTATTTATCTATTTTCAGGCACAGCAACAAAATGAATGTGCTATTGTAAATTGTTTTTTATAAATATATATTTATATGCACATGTTGTATTTTCATTTATTATGGGAAATGTCTGTTACCTTTCTTTTTACCGTATTTCTATTAGATGTTTGTAGATTTAAACACTGGCTCAGTGTCTTTTGTGGAGGCCCAGAAGAGACATGGCAAAAATAAATAAGAATAAAACAGATATATAAATGAATAATACATTGACATGTTAAATGGAAAATAGATGCATTTATGTTTTACTTAAAACACGTCAGCAATAAATTTGGTAATTACTTTTTATGTAGAATTGAATGTGCAGCAACATGTGGAAATAAATATATCTATATTATGAATATGAAATTTGGAATTGAAACCAAAACCTGAAGTGAAAAAGGAAGCGACGGAAGAATAAAACACAGGCATTAAAAAAAATACAATTAATATTTTATTACAATCTTATTTGATTTAGATATTTTTTGTATATTTTTGTATTTTTGTATTTTTGTATTATGACAAAACAGTGACAGAAAGTTGAGACTGAAAACCAGTAACACTGAAAAAAAGACATGAAGAAAAAATCTGAAAATTGACGTTGAAAAACATCATGATACAAAATAGATCAAAGTTTAATAAGATTGTAAGATTGAAACTGTGTTTTATTTCTATTTTTATATATTTTTTCTGTGCCACTGTTTCCTTTTTCACTCCAGCTTTTGTTTTTAATGTCAACATCTTCCTGTCACTGTTCCAGCCTCATACACACTGACTCGCCTTCTGCCTTGGGTTGCTTTTATTTTGAAGGCAAATCAAACAATTTCCGGTACTTGCCTTTCTGAATCTGTGTGACTTGACACGGTGTTGTGGTTGAGTGGGGGGGGGGGGGGGGGGGGTTTGTACTGACGAGGCCGACCTGTGGACACTAACGTAGCTCACTGATCGAGGGCAAAGTTTCCAGTGGAGCGTGTATGTTGCTGTTATCTGCCGCGCGCACGCACACACACACACATAGACACAGACACACACACACACACGGGCTTTCAGCTGCACGGAGAGGAGAGCGGATACATGCAGCATGTAGCCCGGACTGAGGACAGCTGCTGAATGGTGCGTATGTGTAATATCATCAGTGTTACATGTCTGCCTGTCTGTCTGCCTGTCTGCCTGCCTGTCTGCCTGTCTGCCTGTCTGACTGTCTGTACACCTGTCTGACTGACTGTCTGTCTGTACACCTGTCTGACTGTCGCTGTCCTGTCTGTCGTGTCAGCCTGTTCTCCATCCACCGCACCGACCCGAGCTCCGGTGACCCGCTTCCCTGAGCCGTCATGGGGGGGAGTCTGGGTTGCCACCGCTCCATTCCCAGGGACCCCACGGACCTGAGCTGCGGGAAGCGCAAATTCAGCGCTGCGTGTAACTTCGGCCACATCCTGGTGAACCAGGAGCGGCTCAACATCAACACGGCCACCGAGGAGGAGCTCATGACTCTGCCGGGAGTCAACCGCTGCGTCGCGCAGAATATCGTGGAGTACCGAGACTGCATCGGGGGGTTTAAGAAGGTGGAGGACCTGGCTCTGGTGAGCGGGATCGGGGCCTCCAAACTGGAGGTGATCAAGCTGGAAATCTGCGTCTCCAGCAGAACCAGCTCGTCCCAGCACTCTCCGTCGTCCCTGCGCAAAGACCTGGATCACCAGTCCTGCACCGGGATGAACATCAACACCGCCACCCCGGCGCAGCTCATGAGCATCCGAGGCATCACGGAGAAGATAGCCAAGAACATCGTGGTGTACCGGGCGGAGCACGGCCCGTTCAGGAGCATCGAGGACCTGGTGCGGGTCCACCACATCAACAGCTCCCTGCTGGACAAGATCCGCTTCCAGGTGTTTGTGGAGCGCTCCAGGGCGCCGTCCACCAACACCAACGGGGGGCTGACCTGCACCACCAAGTCCCACCCCAGCCCGACTTCATTCAGCTTCAGGAGCGACGACCTGGACCTCCCGCCCGGAGGACCGACCCAGATCATCTCCGTGCGGCCCAGCGTGGAGCCGCCTCCCGGGCTGCGGGACGGGAAGCCCGTGGTGCGGCTGGCCACCTGGAGCCTGCAGGACTGCTCCTGCGACAAGGCCAACAACCCGGGGGTCAAAGAGGTGGTGTGCATGACCCTGCTGGAGAATGAGTGAGTACAACTCACCTGCACTAAGGTGTGATTGGTAGTTAACATCATGTGAGGCCAAACTTGACCTTTTCATATCAGAGAGAAGCAAAAGTGTCTGAAAATCAATGAATTAAAAAGTGAAGAAATTCAATCACTTAAAGTTATTTGGAGGAAACAGGTGAAGAAGTAGAAGAAAAACTCAAATCTGACTTACAAACATGAAAACAATACTTTTGGAAATACAGCTGCATCACAGGGAAAATCATTTCAAACGAAGAATCTACGAAAAACTGGATCTAGTTTTCGTGGGGATTTGTTCTGTCATCACCTGCTGAGTAACACTGTTGTTGAAATAGATAAACTTATATAAAATATTTTCCCAAAGTTTTCATGATCAATATTGGCCACCGAATCAACTAATCAATCAACCAATCATATTCCTCAGATGTAGGCCAATAGAAGCAGTTCAGATTTCTGAGTAATTGCTAAAAAGTGTTTTCTGAGGTCACTGTGACCTTTGACCTTTGACCACCAAAGTTTAATCACTTCATCTTTGAGTCCTGGTGAATGTTTGTACCAAATCTGAAGAAGTTCCTTCAAGGTGTTACAGAGATATGGTGTTTACAAGGCCAAAACTGTGTTTTTTGAGGTCACCACGCCCTTAGCCTTTGACCTTTGACCCCCAAAATCAAATCAGTTCATCCTTGAGTCCTGGTGAACGTTGGTGTCAAATTTGAAGAAGTTCTGTCACGGCGTTGCGGAGACAGATGGATATAACAGCTTCAGGAAACATCTTCATCAACGACACACGAGCTGCAGATTCTCTCAACACAACAGGATGTGTTTCCAGGGGACAGTAAAAACTGATGGACCAGGCTGGGATGCACTTGTTGTTCAATGCTTTTAACTTCAAAAGCCACAAATTTTTGTGCATCCCAGCCTGGTCCATCACTTCTTACTGTCCCCTGGAAACACTTCCTGTTGTGATGAGAGAATCTGCAGCTCGTGTGTCGTTGCTGAAGATGTTTCCTGAAGTTGTTTGTGTTTGGTGTTTTCTCTCTGGCCTTTGGTAATTTGATTGTTGGCAGATGTGTTCAGGACTTTGCCCCCGAAGTGCAATATCGCCCTAGAACAGGTAACGCAGTATCACTCACTCTCGTGGCTCTGCCTTCCTCCGGGGCTCGGCGTCAAAACTGAATTTTAAGAGCGTCCTTTAGTTTGTATTGTGTTGAGTGTGACACGCAGAAAATCCAGAGAAAACAAAACAACATTTAAAATCTCTCTCTCTCCTCAAGGCAACAGCCCAGCAGCATGAAAGCAGCAGGCTGAAGCTGTTTGATTGTGGTGCAGCCGCTCTGCCTCTTACCACACGATGATGTTGGAGGTTTCATTTGTAAAGAAAGTGAGTGAAGAGCAGAGAGAGCGGTGAGCTGTGGTCGGCTCGTTAAACCGACGCTGGACTTCAGCCCTCAGTGTGATGTTTGTGCAGATAAGAGGGAAACAGGCCTCAGTGAATTCAGCCTGATCTGCTCAGATACACTGTGAGAACAGGGATTCATTATTTCAACTGACAACAAGCTGCTCAGCTCAGCAGACCTGTGATGGCTCTGCATGAAATGTTGCACTAGATACTTACTTTGTCTTTCACGCCTCCATGTCTTTATTTACTCTGTGTTCATGATACTCGCTCCTTGAGCGGGGTGTGATCGGACTCTCCCGGTATCTGTTGGCGTCAGGTTACACCGGCTGGGTGTGTGTGTGTGTGCCGTTTCGTTCTCGGGTGGTGCGCCCTGACCTGCTTGGATAGGTGCAGGAGGTCATGAGAGGACATCTGGCGTCTGAAACTCACTGCCAGTAAAATTAGTCCGCTCTGCTATGCAGCGATCACATGATCCATGAGCCAGTGGTTCCCAACCTTCTCCAACTCATGGCCCACATGAAAATCTAAAAATGATTAGTGGCCTACATCCATCATTTTTATTATTATCATTATTATTAATAATGATAATAATAATAATAATAATAATAATAATAATAAATTCATTTGTATAGGACTTTTCAGGACAGCGTTACAAAGTGTTGTACAAACATAAAAGAAAACAAAGTTAAGGCAAAGTGTCAGTTCGCAAGGTGATACAACAGGGAGAATTACAAATAATTAAAAAAATAAAATCAATAAAATGCACAAAAAAATATTAAAACCAAAAGTAAAAACCAAAGATAAAAACACTGAAATCAAGAATCAAGATTTATTTTCTGGTTATAAATGAACTTAAGACGAAACACGATCGATAAACAGTTTTATCAACAAGAGCCACGTTTTCCTGTTTTTTGCTGTTGGGTGCTCCTCGTTCAGCGAAGGTGTCATTGGTGGTTACCATGGTAACACCAGTCTTAGGCCTGAGTTAGCCTGGAGGTGAGGCGGTTGTTTCACTTGTTTCATTGATCCTCGTCAGCTGAAGCACTAAGAGCTTCCCGGTCTGAGCCACACACACTTCCTGACAAGAGACTCACGAGCTGTGTCCAGATTTAAGACGCTTCGTAGCCGCCGAACCGACACGAGACGTCTATCTTGTCTACGGCGGATTTTCGCGGTGCGTCACCAGCTGTTCCCGCCCTCGCCACTGTGCTTTTCCCACAAAAACGTTTTGTTTTAAGTCTCTTGGTTTTAACAGTTGAACCGTTAGCTGCTGAACTGAGCTGCAACCCAATACTTCCATTTAACAGTCTGATCCTCACACTCTCTGTCAGTGATGTTAACTTTCATTACCGACGCGCAGTGAATCATGGGAAACGTCGGACAGCAAAGGATCCAACAGGTGGATCTTTCGCAGTGACGTCATCGGTCCTGAATTGGGACACGGCTAAAGTCCGGGGTCATGGTGGACGAAGCAACTCTGAATCCATTATTCACCCACAATGCTCTCTTCTTTTTAAATCCCTTGATTTAAACCTTTATTTACCTTTACCTTTTTAAATACCTTTTGATTTGTTTTGTGGTCTGAAGTCTGTCCGCTGCAGACTGACCCCGGACGATGAGCTCTGCTGTGATGGCGTGGCGTTTCTTGGACTTCACTCAACAGGTTTGTCTCAGAGTGTTTCAGTTGGGAAAGCTTCGTGCTTTCACAACACACTGAGCGTTTGTTCCCTTTTTTAAACCTCAGAGTAAGAAAACTCATATTTAATGAAGTCAGTGCCGTACTCTCGTTTCACCGTGTTTGCAACATTTGTTTTGGACGTTGCTGTCATGACAGCGCAGGCCGCAAACGGCCACACACTTCCTCATGGGAGTGGGTGTTGTGTGGATGGGTGTTTGTCCTTCAAAATAAAGTGCTCTTTTTGTCCCAACTCTTCCCAGTGAAAATGGCCCCCAGCGACTCACATTTGGGTCGCGACCCACCGGTTAGCAAGGAGGCTGCGGAGGAGATACGGGGGGTGTTTGCACAGCTTAGCCTCTGTTTTGTGAGCAATCACAAGATCCAGGCTGAGTTTACTCACTTCCTGGCTCTGCTCCAGGCACAAGCTGAGAGCTTCTAGAGTTCAATGAACTCCTGCTTACCAAAGGTTACACAGCAAACTGAGCTCAGCCACCGCAGCCTCACACGCCTGCTGATGTTGGTAATAAAGCAGCCATTAGTCAGCCTCACACACTGGGCAGGAGGGAAGTGAAACGGGGTTAATATAGGTCGAGGTGTGGATGTGAAAAGCTGTGTTGCTGTCCGATCTATTTTTCTGCATGACAGTTTGTAACTTCTGTTTGACTCACGTGGTTCTTCTCTTGCGTCACACTGTGTAATTAATTTACATGGCATCTAATGTCTCGCTGTATTGTGCAACTGCCAAACAGAATTTAATGCGACACGCAGCATCCACCCAGAAATAAAAGAGCATCCCTCTTCAGCGCGACACCACACATTCATCGGATTTAAACCCACCTACCTGACACTGTGGCACACACAGGAAGTGAAGACACAAGACACAGATTTGAGTCACAGCACGGCCGTGAGGAAGTGATCCGTCAGGACAGAGGTGGGCTCGCCAGCATCATCTGATTCATGTCCTTTGGTACCGAACACTGACGAGCCAGGCTGCTGAACATGAGTTCATGACTCTGGTTGTGGCTTTTAAAGGAATAGTTCCACATTTTGGGGAAAAAGTGTGGCTCCTGTCGCCTAGCAACCTTGACAACACATGACTTGAGGTTTTAATGTCTGTGGTTTTAACAGTTGAACTGAGCTGAAACCCAATACTTCCGTTTAACAGTGTAATCCTCAGGCTCTCTGTCAGTGATGTTAACTGTCATTACCGATGCGCAATGAATCATGGGATATGTTGGACCAGGAAAACCAGGAAAAGAAGGAGGCATTTGAAGGAGCCTTTGAAATGGGACGTTCTAGTTGCGCCGCTGTGACGTCATCGGTCTTGAAACGCAGCTTCTGAAGGGCGCCGCCTCTGAATTGGGACACAGCCACAGTGTGTGCGTCTGTTGCTAGCTAGCTTTACAGCTAATGCTTGTGTAGATGGTTCTTTGGCTGTTTGTCACCGTAGCTAACGCATTGAATTAATGCGTTCACTTTGAGTCTGTATGTGTGTATGAAATTACTTCTGTAGCTTATTTGGAAAGCTTTAGGAGCTTCACGCTGCCTGATGTGTTTTGCCTATAGACTGTAAATAAAGATGGACATCGGCTCCGTGACATCACCCGCAGGTTTCTGAAGCTCAGAGTGAGCTGCTCAGAGTGAGCTGCTCCGCCGTCGCCATCTTGGCAGTGTCCGACTCCACCCCTAACTTCCAGCTAATCCAAAAATAGTCAAAGATGACTCCTACAGCTTTATGTGCTGTTTGAGTTTTGACATATTCAGTTAGCGCTCATCACTGCAGTGTGAACATAATGGAAGTCAAAGAGAAATTAGCTTTGTATTTGGATCACGTAGCTCGAACATCAGGGACAGTTTCATGACAGGAACAAGGTGAACTTTAAAGCTGAACGGTTACTGAAGCTCGTTTTTACTTTTACTCTT